GGTTCACCGTCCGCATAGATCAGGGGTCCTCAAACTACGGCCCGCGGGCCACATGCGGCCCGCCGAGGACATTTATCCGGCCCGCCGGGTGTTTTTTTCCGCCGCTGCCTGTCTGTTACTTTTTTTCTACATGAGAAGGACGGTCATTGGTGGAAGAGGGAGAGGGGGCGGAGTTCCCCCCAATCAGACTGCATTGATGGGCAGTGCAGTCTGTATGTCTCTGTGTGGGCAAAGTTATTGCTGGTATATTGTTTTTGTAGCGCTGTATATATATTGGTATTTTACTAATAGCAATTTTGACTCCCTAGGAAACAATGATGTCAAGAAAGAGAAAAATTGACTCGGAGTGTAGGATATTCAAAGAACAGTGGACTTATGATTACTTTTTCATGCAGTACAAGGAAAGAGCTGTGTGTCTGATATGCCAGAATATAGTGTCTGTGTTCAAAGAATACAATTTACGTCGACACTATGAAACTCAACATAAAGATAAATATGATTGTTTGGTCGGAGAAGTGAGAAAAGATAAAATATTAAAACTGAGAAATACATTAGCAACTCAGCAAAATACTTTTGTAAAGCAGAAGCAGCTAAATATTTCATCACTGCAAGCAAGTTTTCAAGTTGCCAAGCTAATAGCGTGCACTGGCAGACCATTCGTGGAGGGAGAATTTGTTAAAGAATGCCTTCTTTCTGTTGCCAAAGAGATGTGTCCAGAGAAGGCCGATTTATTTAGTACAGTGCGTCTTTCAGGACCTACAATTACACGGAGGATTGAAGAAATGGGAGACAATTTGCATCAGCATTTGCAAAACTCCACAAAAAAACTTTCCTATTTTTCCTTGGCACTCGACGAAAGCAATGATGTTCGTGATTCTGCACAACTTCTATTTTTTATTCGTGGGACGAATGACTATTTCGAAGTCACAGAAGAGCTTGCTGCACTTGCAAAGCATCAAAGGAACAACTATAGGAGAGGATATCTTTCGATTTAAAGCTTTCGTGCCTGCAGGGATTCATCTTATTGGTTCTTTCGGTAAAGTCACATAGAAGGGAAATAATAAAATAATAAAAGTAAAAGATAATAAAATAATTCTCACGACGTTTCGGTCACAACGCAAGCAGCCGTCCTCAGGTGAAAACCAGGTCTGTTGGGGAGACAGCGTCTGAATGAAACAGCACACGAGCTTGGAGCATATATAAGCTGGGTTGGAAACGGGGGAAAGAGCGCCTTGACAAAATAATTTGCATATCAAGAGGAATTTAGCATATGTATGGGAAATGCAGGAATGTTATTAGTACTACATATGCAGCACGGGCTTATGTAGTACTAATCACATTCCTGCATTTCCCATACATATGCTAAATTCCTCTTGATATGCTAATTATTTTGTCAAGGCGCTCTTTCCCCCGTTTCCAACCCAGCTTATATATGCTCCAAGCTCGTGTGCTGTTTCATTCAGACGCTGTCTCCCCGACAGACCTGGTTTTCACCTGAGGATGGCTGCTTGCGTTGTGGCCGAAACGTCGTGAGAATTATTTTATTATGTTTTATTTTATTATTTTATTACTTTCCTTCTACGTGACTTTACCGAAAGAACCAAGAAGAGAGGATATCTATGAAAAGGTTTGCCAAACTGTGAATGGTTTGGAGCTGAACTGGGCTAAACTAGCCAGTGTGACAACTGATGGTGCTCCTAGCATGGTGGGGTCTAAGAAAGGAGTAATTTCTCGCATTAACCAAGAGATGGACAAACATAACCATTCTCATCCAATAGCCATACACTGCCTCATCCACCAACAAGCGCTGTGTAGTAAATCACTGAAGTGGGACTCTGTTATGAAATTTGTGGTATCTTGTGTTAACTTCATTAGAGCTCATGCACTAAACCACAGACAATTTCAGGAATTTCTGTTTGAGCTAAATGTTGACTATGAAGATGTTCTGTATCACACAGAAGTCCGTTGGCTGAGTCGAGGGAGAGTTTTGAAACGTTTCTATGACTTACTTCCACAGATTACAGCTTTTCTGCTTTAAAAAAACAAAGAAGTACCAGAGCTCAATGATGCAGAATGGAAATGGCACCTTGCCTTTCTGACAGATGTAACAGAGCTACTCAACAGTTTCAATGTGCAACTTCAAGGAAAGGGGAAGCTCATCTGTGATATGCAATCACATGTCAAAGCATTTGAAGTAAAATTAGGCCTCATCAAACAAGTGAAGGAGGAAAACTTCTGCCATCTCCCCACAACTCAAAATCTGTTAGCGGAAAAACCATTGGTTGCATTCCCAAACAAAACATGTGTGGATTCACTGGAAAAATTGCAAAAGGAGTTCCAATTTGGATTTAAAGAGCTTCATCTCCATGAACAGGACATACAGCTTTTCCGTAACCCATTTTCTATTGACATTGAAAATGTGGATACAATTTACCAAATGGAACTGGCTGAACTGCAGAATTGTGACTCTCTAAAAGACGCATTCAAGTCAAGCAGCCTTCATAATTTCTATGCATCTCTCCCCTCTGAGACATATCCTCATCTCAGGAACCATGCACTCAAAATGGTAACCATCTTTGGCAGCACTTATGTCTGTGAACAAATTTTTTCCAGAATGAAACATTTGAAATCTCCAACCAGATCTAGACTAACGGATGCACACTTGCATCACTTGTTACGACTAGCAGTGACAAATATGGAACCGGACATTGACCATCTCATTAGCCAAAAGCAGGCTCATAGTTCCCATTGAAATACTGGCAAGTTTGTTGATTTAACTTTACTTGTTCTTCATTTTAAATATTGTATTTGTTCCCGTTTTGTTTCTTCACTTCAAAATAAGATATATGCAGTGTGCATAGGAATTTGTTCATAGTTTTTTTTACTATAGTCCGGCCCTCCAACGGTCTGAGGGACAGTGAACTGGCCCCCTGTTTAAAAAGTTTGAGGACCCCTGGCATAGATCATGCGGCGCTGCAGTATGCTTTGCGGGTTCAACAGCCATCGGGACAATTGTCTCGATGGTTGGAAATCCTTCAGGATTTCGATTTTGCGACTACCTATCGTAAGGGCACTCGCCACACCAATGCGGACGCTCTGTCCCGGTTACCACCCACTTCTGAGTGCGCTTGCCTGCTGGGTTCGTGGCGTTGCAGACCTCCGAATGTCAGCTCTAATTCGGTTTTAGCAGCCGCCGCCGATGCGCCTTCCGTTGCCGGTCCTATCGAGCAAGAAGGGAGGGATTCCTTGCTGGGGTTGTCGGTTGCGGAGTGGGGGCGCCTCCAAATGGAGGACACCTCCCTCCTCGCTTTGCGCCGTCGCGTCGGGGGAATCGTGCGGGGGGGGTGAAAATGTCGACGCGTGGTCAGAACTAGAATGAACGGAGGGAGAGGCCACGCTGAAGCGGGGTCCAGGCTGCCACGTGGCCGCGCGTGTCTCTCTCTCTCTATCCCTCTCACGCTGCCTGTCAGCAGCGTGGAGGAGTGTTGTAATGAAAGACAAATAAAGACCGGATTCCAGAAGTCGCTTCTACGACCTTTATTACAATAGCAATGATGTAAATTATTTCCAGATAAAAAGACTCACAGGATCCTCCCCGAATATGGTTTGGCACCACAGTCCTGCCCAACTGAGTGCCCGGAGAAAATCCACCACAGTTACGAGGTGGTGCCACTCAGCACCGTCATCTCCTGACCATCTCTGGCATCCCCATGCCAACAACACCTGGTGGTGGTACCTGGTGGTCACTCATCCAACTACCGACCAGGCTCAATGCTGCTTAGCTTTTTAGGCAACGATCACAATTATTCCGACACTTATTAATTATCTACACTATGGGAACCTCATTTGCCAATAAAAATATGATAATTGGTTTTTTACCCTTCTATCTGGCAACAAAACCTGCAGTCATAATACAAACAAAAGACATAACTCTGATAATGTGCACTGTCCTTGAAGTTGATTGGTCCACACCTTTTGGCGTCATCTGGTCCAACCCATGTGAGACTAGGCTCTAAGGAAAGCTGTCTCGGGTGTGGACCAATCAACTTCAAGGACAGTGCACATTATCAGAGTTATGTCTTTTGTTTGTATTATGACTGCAGGTATTGTGGTCTATGCAAACATGACTCCTTGTAAAAAGGTGTCAGTTTTGTTGCCAGATAGAAGGGTAAATAACCAATTATCAACTTATTAATTAGTCGCAACAAATTAAACATTATTTGAATGTTTGGCTGAAAATCAGAGGATCTCCTGGTGATCACTGGCATGCTGTATGAGGGGATGGACCTTTGACTCTGTCGTGAATATGTTTTAACACGATTCCAAGGACTCTTTTAGGACAAAGTTGACCTCATGGAGGGCCAGTAAACGTTCCAAAACCGGTGTACATGGCCGGGAATAAATCCCAAGTTGTGATAAGCACTACTACTCATTCGGACGCTGTCTTTCCGACAGACCTGTTCTTCACCTGAGGACGGCTGCTTGCGTTGTGGCCGAAACGTCGTGAGAATTTAATATTTATTTTTATTATTTTATTATTTCCCTTCTACGAGACTTTACCGAAAGAACCAATAAGATGAATCCCTGCAGTCACGAAAGCTTTAAATCGAAATCTTAAAGTGACTATGTGACTATGTGCAAACTGAAAATCCAGGGGAAAAAACAGCAAAAATTCCAGAAAAAAATGCACCGTACACACCAACACTGTGTAGAAAAATCCCAGTGGGATGCAAGTCAAACAACAACAACCAAAAGACAAATTTAGATTAAGGCCATCAGTCTAACTCCGTACTACAAGAAACAAACATGGCCAAATCAAAAAACTTTTCGAAATCATCAAAATAAAGCCATTAAAGCAATGAAACAGTGATCATAGGAACTGTGACCGAATTTTCACAATAAACGACATAAACAACACCAAACCCTGCAGCCATAACTGGCTGCATGAGCCTGCACTCATACAGTACCAATATCCGTAGGTGGTCATTTTGTTTTCTTACCCCTTCAGGTGGTGAGGCAATCCAGCCAGGCTCCCCCAGTGCGCTCTTTGAGTCGAGGATATTGACTGCAGGAGACAAGGCGCAACATTCAGCCCCGAACAGCTGGTCGTCACAACGTGGGGATGTGCAGAGCCGCGAGGCCGGGGAGACACATCAAGTCAAACACAATGAGAGTCACATGTTTTTACTGGTAGGAACCTCTTGGTTACACCAGCCCACAGGAGATTATTGTGTCCGCCGTGCAAAGAGGGGCTGGGTAGGGGCTGGGTGGGGAAGGGCTGGGTGGGTAGGGGCTGGGTGGGGAGGGGCTGGGTAGGGAGGGTGGGGCTGGGTGGGGAGGTGCTGGGTGGGTAGGGGCTGGGTGGGGAGGGGTTGGGTGGGTAGGGGCTGGGTGGGGAGGGGTTGGGTGGGGAAGGTGGGGCTGGGTCGGGGGGCTGGGTGGGTAGGGGTTGGGAGGGGGGGCTGGGTGGGGGAAGGTGGGCTGGGTCGGGAGGGCTGGGTGGGTAGGGGTTGGGAGGGTAGGGGCTGGGTGGGGAGGGGCTGGGTGGGGAAGGTGGGCTGGGTGGGGAGGGGCTGGGTGGGGAGGGTGGGGCTGGGAGGGGTGGGGCTGGGTGGGAAAAGGCTGGTCACCCCGTGGTGCCCTTATCAACGTTGAACCTACTCACGCCGGCTTGTGCCCGCCCCCACAGTCGGGCATATTTGCGGAATACACCACGCCGCCGTTGACCCTGCAGGCCATTGAGCGAGCAACCCGACGTTCCTACCAGCTCCCTCCGCAGCAGCAGGACGATGTGTTTGTTGGTGAAGTGTGCGAGTGAACACTCTGCGACAGCAATGGCACAATGGCCATGCATTTTCCCCGACTCTACTCAAGGTAAACCAAGCGAGTGGGGTCATCTGTCAGAGAATACCAATGGGAAATGTCGTTGTATCGCTGACATCGTATTCTCTGGATTATAAGACCCCCCCCCTGCCCCCTGCATATTTAAAATTTCTTATTTTCAGTAGCATTTTATATTCTCGAGAATACGGTGTTAATATACAAAATGAGGCTAAAATGTGAAGTATTTTATTTTCCATCATTGACATGAAACTTTTTTATCTCACTGAACCAGTTATCTGCTTACAGGCACATTGGACTCAACACAAACTCCCTCTGCAACTACCGTGGATGGGCCCTACCAGGCTCCAGGAGACAACTTGAAATTCCAAAAAGGCCCCGTGGATGTTGTTGAAATCGTAGAGGGATTTCTCTTCGTAATGTTTTGCCTCCGAAACGTCGTGAATTATTATTTTATTTCTATTATTTTTTTATTTTTCACCTACGTGACTTTACCGAAAAAGCCTAAGAATATGAATCCTTGCAGTCACGAAAGCTTCACATCTAGAATATATCAATTCAAGTTTCAAAGTTCATGTATTAGGTATAGCCCTGTGAACCATTCGGCTATTGAATCGGGTGCAATCGCAAAAAACAAAAAAACTAAAACATGAACAAAAAACATCTCAAAGTGAATATATAACTGAGTGCAAACAGAAAATCCAAGAAAAGACAGCAAAATATTACAGAAAAAGCACCGTACACCAACGCTGTGTGCAAACATCCCAGTGGGATGCAAGTCAAACAACAACCACAAGACAGCTTAGATTAAGGCCATCAGTCTAACTCTGTACTACAACAAACAAACATGGCCAAACCAATACACTTTTCGAAAATCACCAAAATCAAGCCATGAAAGCAATGAAACAGTGATCACAGGAACTGTGACCGAACTTTCCACAACAAACGACGTAAACAACACGTACAGAAGTTGGCGGTGTCTCTCTCTCCTCTCTCTCTCCACGTGCCCCGTCACATTCACGATGAAAGACGCGGAGCCGGCAAAGAGCGATGATGCTTGAGCCCCCCACCCCACCCCGCCCCCCACTCGCCTCGTTACCTTCGTGAGCGACGCAGACGGCGAGGAGAGACCCCAGAAAACTGGCGCTTTGCAGGAGCGTGGAGGAGACGGATCCAGGCGCCATGAGGCTGATGGATCGTGGTGCTGGTGGATTGTGGAGCTGGTGGATCATGATGCTGGTGGATTGTGGAGCTGGTGGATCGTGGTGCTGATGGATCGTGGAGCTGGTGGATTGTGGAGCTGGTGGATTGTGGAGCTGGTGGATTGTGGAGCTGGTAGATTGTGGTGCTGGTAGATTGTGGTGCTGGTAGATTGCGGTGCTGGTGGATCATGATGCTGATGGATCGTGGAGCTGGTGGATCGTGGAGCTGGTGGATCGTGGAGCTGGTGGATCGTGGAGCTGGTGGATCGTGGTGCTGATGGATCGTGGAGCTGGTGGATCGTGGAGCTGGTGGATCATGATGCTGATGGATCGTGGAGCTGGTGGATCGTGGTGCTGGTAGATCGTGGTGCTGGTGGATCGTGGAGCTGGTGGATCGTGGTGCTGATGGATCGTGGAGCTGGTGGATCGTGGATCGTGATGCTGGTGGATCGTAGAGCTGGTGAATCGTGGATCGTGCTGGTGGTGAATAGTGACAACACTGTAACAAAAGCATGTTTTTTTGTCCTTGGGTAGTGAGTAATATTTTCTAATTGCTAATGCCTCAAAAGTACAGAAAGTGGGTTACTATTATTCCCCACAAACTTTGCTTTTGTGACCAGGACACACAAAGTCCTGGTCACAAAAGCAAAGTTTGTGGAGAATGATAATTGCCACTTTCTATCCATTTTAGGCATAGCCAATTAAAACATAACACTACCCGGGGACAAACATCGTGTTGCAGTTTTGATTTAAAGCTTTCGTGACTGCAGGGATTCACATTCTTTGTTCTTTCGGTAAAGTCACGTAGAAGGGAAATAATAAAATAATAAAACATGAACCAATATTTTTTATATATTTTTTATATTATATTTATTATATATTTATGTTATTGTTTACGACACACTTAGGGGCCGTCCATAAATGACGTCACGCACCTGGGGGGGGTCAGACATTTGTGACGATGTGTGATGAGGAGGAGGGGGGAGTGAGAAATGTGACGTCACATCAAAATGCGCAACTTTAAATGAATATGGGATTGTTATAACAACACTAATTGTCATGACAACTCTCCTACAACATCAGAGTGCAGCGCCACATTAAATATGCACAATGACAATGACAACAGTTTAAAGCCATTTGAAACATTTTTTTTCAAAATGGAGGGGGGGGGGCAGAGCTTTGTGACGTCATATTTGAGGTGGGGGGGGTCTGACTTTTCGTGACGCCGTGTGACGAGGGGGGAGGGTCAAAAATCGTCCAAAATCGCGTGACGTCATTTATGGACGGCCCCTTAGGCACCATACTGTTCTTACGTGAGCATAGAAAATCCCATGGCGTCACTTGTTGTCGACCACGTGGTGTTCCGGCCAGGCGCTAGAGGCGTCACCCCATTGGTGGATGACGACACAGACCTCGCCTCGGGTATAAAGACCCTCCCCCACTCGGCCACGTGATTCAGATGCTTGGAGCGGCAGTGGAGCTGAGCACAAACATCACCCAGCAGTGCAGAGTGGAGCTGGGGACGACTTCTGTAAGTGGTAGATGAGGCATTCACTCGAGGCTGTGTTGTCAGATACGTGTTGTTGTAGTTGAGTATAACATTTATTAAGTATTTTTTTTCATTCTTCACCTGAGGACGGCTGCTTGCGTTGTGGCCGAAACGTCGTGAGAATTATTTTATTATGTTTTATTTTTATTATTTCCCTTCTACGTGACTTTACCGAAAGAACCAAGAAGATGAATCCCTGCAGTCACGAAAGCTTTAAATCGAAATGTATTAAATAACACATCTGGGTCGTTTGTTAGCCCATTACTCTATAATAAAGGGGGGTATTTTGGTTTAGATTGCATTACCTTTTATGGATGATGTTGATATAGCGAAAACATACGTGTTAAACTCACCCACTAATAGCTCACATTTTTTGCAGAGGTTTTTTAAAAATGTATATTAAATATTAGAATACTCTTAGTTCTTTCGGTAAAGTCACGTAGGTAAAAAATTTAAATTTAAATGTAAAAAAATAATAATAATAAAAATCACGACGTTTCGGAGGCAACACAAGTCTCCGTCATCAGGTGGGACCGTCGTGATTTTTATTTTATTTTTTATAAATTTTAATTTCATTTTTTACCAAAGTTCCTGTACCTGACACCATGGCAATCATTGAAGACTTGGTTCATCAAGGACTGAATGCTGGGGTACCCCCCCTGGTGAGACACTGCTTAACCAATACATACTTCACCTGGAATGGAACTTTCTACAAGCAAACTGAGGGCACCCCGATGGGCTCCCCCCTATCTCCGGTTGTAGCCAACATCTTCATGGAGAAATTTGAGACTGACGCCATCCAGACTGCCACTCTACGCCCGACCTTATGGAAGAGGTACGTAGATGACACTTTTGTCATCTGGCCACATGGCCGGCCTGCTCTAAACCAATTTCTCGACCACATCAATTCCATACACCCAGCCATCAGATTCACCATGGAAGTCGAAAAAGATGGCAAGCTACCCTTTTTGGATGTCCTAATTAAAAGGAGACCTGATGGTTCAATGAGCCACTCTGTCTACAGGAAAGCCACCCATACGGATGCTTACCTAAAACCGGATTCCCACCACCATCCATCCCAGAAGAATTCCCTCATCAAGACTCTATACCATAGAGCCCAATGTATTTCCGACCAGGATCACATTGCCAGTGAACTCAAACACGTACGCCAAGCTCCTAAGGCTAATGGTTACTCCGACTACACAATCCGCAAGGCAATCACTCCAACCATCAAGAAGAATCCTGTTGAGGAGCCTTTCAAGACCATCACCTTACCCTACATTGCTGGGGTCACAAAAAAGATCTCCAAAATCCTGATTAAACACAAGATCCAGGTCCGATTCAACACAGTACATAAAATCCGTGATCTGGTCCCGTCTGTAAAAGATGTGGTTCCAGACATACAGTACCCTGGCGTCTACAAACTAAGTTTCCTCTGTGGTAGCAGTTACATTGGAGAAACCAAACGACATGTCTCGGACCGCATCCATGAACATAAAGCAGACCTGAAACACGGTAGGACAAACACCTCAGCCGTGGCAGATCACTGTTACAATTCAGTGGGCTCACATGACATTTACTTCTCCAAGACAGAGGTTATCTGCAAGCCAACTGGCTATCATGAGAGATTCGTTCATGAGGCTATCCACATATACAAACACAGAGACAATTTCAACCGAGAAGATGGATTCTGGCTTAGCAATCATTGGAAGGACGTAATAAACCATTTCGGATCTTAACTGATTGTGTTCACATTTACAGTGACTTTCAGACCGCGTTCCACTCACTGGCATTGTATTCTCCGCAGGGATTGGATTCTTTGCTCCGCTGGAAGTTTTCCCCCCCACTATTCACCCATTGACACGACGGTCAATGGTACAGTGTATAATAACAAATAGTATAACATTTATATGCTTAATACAATGTACAAAGTAATATATAGTATCGTAATTTTATAGTAAATATATAGCATTGTGATACACTTTAAGGTGGGTAGAATAATACATAGTGTTACATTAAAACGACGTAAAATTGTAATATATTACTTACTGTTAGTAACTCAGCTTATTGTAGAGTATAGTAAGTATACTAATGATGCTATGTAGTTTATACTTTAGTTGTTCATGCAGTTTACACTTTAGTTTTTTTTACGTTGTTGTTTAACTGCAGCTACATACTATTAACATTCCTTTCCTTTGTTAATGCTACCCCCCTTCCCCCTCCCTTTGATGCTGCTAATCCTGCATAATGCACGGGCATAATATTAACTTGAAACCCCTCCATCCACCTCCTACGCATTTTTCATATGCTAAATTCCTCTTGATATGCAAATTATGTTGTTAAGGCGCTCTTCTTCCCACCTCCCCCCCTCCAACCCAGCTTATATATACGCTCCTAGCTTGGTGGTGTTTCATTCTTCACCTGAGGACGGCTGCTTGCGTTGTGGCCGAAACGTCGTGAGAATTATATTATTTTGTTATGTTTTGTTTTTATTATTTTATTACTTCCCTTCTACGTGACTTTACCGAAAGAACCGAGAAGATGAATTACTGCAGTCACGAAAGCTTTAAATCGAAATTTAACCGCCTCTACGGGGAGGATTTCCACATAACTTTGAGATCCTTCAACAAGCTCCGGGATAAGAAGGCTCAGCTAATCGAGTCTCTCACCTTTCTGAAGAGATGCCGCGACTCTAAGGTAATACCAAACGCATTTACACTAACATCTGCTGCTGTAACTTCTTCTAATGCTAAACGAATTCTGTCTAGAACTAGCTTAGCTCTTATCTCAGAGAAAATCAGACTTACGCGCACCGATCTAGATCAGTTAGACAAGACACTCTACAAATCACACTTATCTTTGAGTGCAACAATGTCCGCATCGGATTGGGAACATGTAGAAAAAATGACTGCCTCGTCAGCTGCCGCTATGTCGACCAAATATAAGGACAACTTGATTTCCAAATTCAACCGCCTCTCAAACAAGGAACCGGACCCACACATTAAAAAGCTAGATGTTAACAAAGTCGTAATTAATCGCAGTAACAGTTCTATTTCTGAAGGTCTGAAATCCGTTTTAGCTAAAGGACTAAACTTTGCAGTCACACCTAGACACATACCAGTTAATGATATAATTGCTAGAGTAGATGTAGCTCTCAAGGGCCTGAGTCACATCGCTGCAGACGTAGCAAGATCTGAAATCTCTGCAACTCTCAAAAATGCTAAGATGCCAGCTAGCAACATCAGCAAAGATGAGCGTTTTGAATTAGCTCAATTAAAAAAGAGGGATGACATTGTCATCCTCTCAGCCGACAAAGGCAATGCCACTGTCATCATGGACAAAACAGAATACAACAACAAAATCCAAGAACTACTCAACGATGGCAGCTATACAAAAATAAAAAGAGACCCCACCAACAGCCTCGTCTCTAAAACCAAGCAAATCATTTCTGATTCAACCGCATTAATTGATCAGACCAAACAGTTCTCGTTGAAACCTTCTGCAGCCAGGCCACCAAGATTATACGGCTTGCCAAATATACATAAAGATACACCTCTTCGTCCCATTGTCTCTACTATCAACTCCCCCACCTATAAACTGGCTCGTTTTTTGTCTGAAATCCTACGGCCTTTCACTGGAAAAACCACCTCTGCGGTACTAAACTCTACTGACCTGGTATCGACAATCAAGGGGATTGCCCTGTCCCCAGACGACCTGCTTATCAGTTTTGATGTGGTTTCCTTATTCACCAAAGTTCCTGTACCTGACACCATCGCAATCATTGAAGACTTGGTCCATCAAGGACTGAATGCTGGGGTACCCCCCTGGTGAGACACTGCTTAACCAATACATACTTCACCTGGAATGGAACTTTCTACAAGCAAACTGAGGGCACCCCAATGGGCTCCCCCCTATCTCCGGTTGTAGCCAACATCTTCATGGAGAAATTTGAGACTGACGCCATCCAGACTGCCACTCTACGCCCGACCTTATGAAAGATGTACGTAGATGACACTTTTGTCATCTGGCCACATGGCCGACCTGCTCTAAACCAATTTCTCGACCACATCAATTCCATACACCCAGCCATCAGATTTACCACGGAAGTCCAAAAAGATGGCAAGCTACCCTTTTTGGATGTCCTAATTAAAAGGAGACCTGATGGTTCAATGAGCCACTCTGTCTACAGGAAAGCCACCCATATGGATGCTTACCTAAAACCGGATTCCCACCACAATCCATCCCCAGAAGAATTCCCTCATCAAGACTCTATACCATAGAGCCCAATGCATTTCCGACCAGGATCACATTGCCAGTGAACTCAAACACGTACGCCAAGCTCTTAAGGCTAATGGTTACTCCGACTACACAATCCGCAAGGCCATCACTCCAACCATCAAGAAGAATCCTGTTGAGGAGCCTTTCAAGACCATCACCTTACCCTACATTGCTGGGGTCACAAAAAAGATCTCCAAAATCCTGATTAAACACAAGATCCAGGTCCGATTCAACACAGTACATAAAATCCATGATCTGGTCCCGTCTGTAAAAGATGTGGTTCCAGACATAAAGTACCCTGGCGTCTACAAACTAAGTTGCCTCTGTGGTAGCAGTTACATTGGAGAAACCAAACGACATGTCTCGGACCGCATCCATGAACATAAAGCAGACCTGAAACACGGTAGGACAAACTCCTCAGCCGTGGCAGATCACTGTTACAATTCAGTGGGCTCACATGACATTGACTTCTCCAAGACAGAGGTTGTCTGCAAGCCAACTGGCTATCATGAGAGATTCGTTCATGAGGCTATCCACATATACAAACACAGAGACAATTTCAACCGAGAAGATGGATTCTGGCTTAGCAATCATTGGAAGGACGTAATAAACCATTTAGGATCTTAACTGATTGTGTTCACATTTACGGTGACTTTCAGACTGCGTTCCACTCACTGGCATTGTATTCTCCGCAGGGAATGGATTCTTTGCTCCGCTGCAAGTTTTCCCCCCACTATTCACCCATTGACACGACGGTCAATGGTACAGTGTATAATAACAAAGAGTATAACATTTATATGCTTAATAGCTCAACGAAGTGGCTCATCGTCACGTGGAGATTTATAGCAGCCAAACACTCTGAACGCGTTGATGTTGATTCTAAATGTGGAGGGAAACACCAAAGAACACGAAGAAGAATCCACACGACCAGAGAGAACACTCCAAATATACAGCAGGCATCAGGGTTGATTTCGAACCCATGCCCCAATTTAAGAGTTTTACTCTTACGAGGTCACCCTGAGTGAAGTTGCTGCACACAGAAAACAAGACGAGGCGGTGATGGGAGCGACTTGAGAGCCCTGCGTCGTTTAGACGATTAGTGCCACGAAGAAAAACTGCCCACGGCGATGGATAACAATCGTCTGTAGTTGGCCTCATGCGGCTGTGTGCCTTGTGAAGTGAAGCCACAGGCCACAGATGGGTCCTACCTCTGGTTCAAAAGGTATTCCTACCCTCTGGTCAGTTTTGAACGAGCAGCTGGATTTAATCACTCACTCTGAATGGAATTACACTGTCCTGTGCGATAGACTTGTCCCCGCCATAGGAAGGTGGAATTCCCACCGCTGGCTCAGGGTTGTAAGCGGGAGATGAGCGCACATGCCTCAACGCTCTTTCTGAGCAGGAAAATCACTTTTGAGTCGTTGTGACGAATGTGAATGCAATAGCGAGTGTCTGTTGACAACCAACTAAACTCCCTTCTCTATGCTTGCAAATTGTGCACCGCTCTAATGGAATATCTGTGCTGGTTTGAAACATGCAGGCTGGCCTGCTTACAATCTATGTTGGGTTTAACCAGGCTGGATTGTGTGAGGAGCTCACAGATCCTTGAAAGATCCGGACACAGTCCCGTCGCTGAGCTCCTCCGGCAGGCAAGGCTCCATTGGCTGGGTCATGTAGCCCGCATGCCCAGCCACCTCGTACCCAAATCCATGCGACCACAGGGAAAGCGACACCGCAAACTGCAAATATACAGGCATTGTCGGGGTCAGGATCGAACCCACGACCTCCTGTACACCAGGTGAGGTAGTTAACATCTCACCACGGAGAGAGAGAGAGAGACAAGCAAACCCCAAATATACAACAGCAGGCATCAGGGTCGGAATCGAACCAACGACCTGCTGTATACCAGGCGAGGTGGTCAACATCTCACCACGGAGAGAGAGAGAGACACGCAAACCCCAAATATACAGCAACAGTCGTCAGGGTCGGGATCGAACCCACGACCTCCCCCCACTCCTCCAACCCACCCCCACTGCCGCCGCCTCACCCTTCCGCTCACCTGCAGTGGGATCCAGCGGGGCGAAGTGCAGCGTGTAGCGCAGCACGTGGTGGTTGTTCCACACGTAGAGGGCGCCGTCGTGCGGGTTGTACTGCACCGACGTGATGAACTGGAACGGGTTGGGGAACGGGATGGAGACGCGTGCATCCCGTCGCGAGTTGGTGTCGTACACGTAATCGATGCGGTCGCTCGTCCCCCCCCCCACCCCTCCTCCTCCTGCGGTGCCGTTCGCCGCTCCGTCGCCGTCATCCTCGTAAGTGGAGCGCAGGACGTAGAGGACGCCGCACGCCATGAAGGCGTCGGAGGCCGAGCGCTTGTCGTAGGCCGTCTCAAAAGAGGCCTCGACGCGCAGCGTGTACGGGTTGAAGCGGCTCACTACCACGCGCCCCTCGTTCTGCTCCGTGGCGTAGATGACCCACAGGCCGTTCTCGTCGGCCGCCAGGTCGATGTCGGACTTGCCGCCCCAGCGGTAGGGCGACGTGTCGTAGTAGTTGGCGTTGGGGACGACCGCCTCGCCGCTCTTGACACGCGTGCCCAGGTCGAACTTGACGATTCTGCGCGTTCGCTCCTGCGAGGGGGAGGTCAGGTGAGCGTGTGTGTGTGTGTCGGAGAGGTGGGTGAGTGTGTGAGGGAGAGGGAGGGAGAGGCGGTGGGGAGAGGAAAGGTGAGAGTGAGAGAGGAGAGTGGGAGTGTGTGCGTGTATGAGTGGGTGAAGGTGTGAGTGTGAAACATCCGGGCGTGGTGGTGTTGGCCACAGCACCCCCTCGTACGCTGCGCCGGCCATCATAGGTGCTGCTCAATGGCCCGCGATCACAAATCACTATTTAACTCGATCAAAAAGTAACCTGCAGCGCCACACCTATTACCATCGTTAGGGGAAAGAACGATGATCCAATCTCAGACCCCCAGGAACAGGTTTGCAGATTTGCTGAGCATTTCTGAGGTCATGGAGGAGGGGAAATCCCTCAGCCTGGAAAACATCATGGGACAAAGTGCGGATGACCTTGCTGAGGCAACGGTGCCTCAAATATTGGAGGAGGAATTCACCCCCTGTGAGTGGCTGGCTGAGGTGCCATCCGTTGAGGAAGTACTGAAGGCGATCCAGAGTCTGAGACCAGGAAAGGCACAGATCATCTCCCAAGCGAAATGCTTAGGGAGGGTGGCGTTTGTGCACAGACTACCCTATATGACATCATAACAACAGTCGGGACCACTGGACGGATTCCGCAGGATTGGAAGGATGCCCTGGTGGTCCCCCTCTTTAAGAAGGGGGACCGCACAGACTGTAACAACTACAGGGGCATCTCACTCCTCAGTGTGCCGGGAAAGGTCTTGGCAAGGATTATTCAACATCGCCTTGCTAGGCACGCTGAGGAGAGGCTTGCGGAGCCCCAATGTGGTTTCATGAAAGGGCGGTCCTACACAGATGCCATATTTTTTGTCCGTCTACTACAGCAGAAGTGTAGGGAATTCCAACAAGACCTACATCTCTGCTTCATTGACCTGGTCAAGGCCTATGATGCCATCAGTAGGCCTGGGCTCTGGGTTGTTCTTCGTGCTTTCGGAGTGCCTGACCCTCTGCTCACGCTCATTAAGGACCTTCATGATGGTGAGCTGGCCCGGGTAAAACTACGTGGCCAGGAGTCAGAGCCATTCCCTGTACACCTTGGGGTGCGACAGGGATGTCCTCTGGCTCCAACATGATTTAACATCTATTTCGACCACGTAGTTCGTGAAGCCTTCACTAGCTGTACCGGAGGAATTTCCATCTGGTACAGATACAATGGGAGGCTGATCGATGCCCGGGTGCGGTCAAGGTATAGACCCCTATTGGTCAACCATGTTATGTATGCCGATGCTCTGGTGATTGCTGCTCACTCAGAGGTGGAGTTGGAGGCACTGCTGCTGAACCTGGAACTTGCCACTAAAAGGTGGGACCTTACCATCAGCCCCACCAAAACCAAGCACCTGCCTGGGTATTTTGTACCATCGGACAATCCACTCCCATAACTCACAATCGGTGATGCGGCAGTTGTGTAGAGAGTGGAGAGTTTCCCATACCTGGCCAGTGTGCTCATGACCGGCTCCAGCTTAACAGCAGAGGTCTCACTCCAAATCAGTCGAGCGTCATTATCTTTTCATCGGCTGCATTACGCTGTGTGGAAGCTACCTGGTCTCTCGCTCCGCATGAAGCTTCAGGTCTTCTCGGCCACGGTAATTTCCTCCCTTCTCTACGCTTGCGAAACGTGCACCCCCCTAATGGAACATCTTCGCCGGTTAAAAACATTTAGGCTCCCTATTGGTCAACCACGTTATGTATGCCGACGACCTGGCAATTGCAGCTCACCACACAAAATGAGAGCTCAACCAAGTGGCTTATCACGTGGCGACGTAACAGCAGCCAAACGCTCTAAATGCGCGTGGATTCTAAATCAAGTGGCCAACATCTCTCCGCCGCGCCGGGCACCGACCTTGTTAAAGAACACGGCTCCGTCGTACACCACGAAGCCCGTGCCGTCCACTCGGTGCGGCAGCTGGTAGTTGGTGAGCGGCAGCCTGGCCGCGATGTCCTGGAGGGAGGCGTATTCCACGAGCCTCTTGGTGCGGTAGGGCATCCACGGCATGAAGTACACCTTGCCGTCGGCACGCAGCGGGTCGCGGCACCACGAGCCGGCCTTCTGCTTCGCCTGCAGGAGGTGCAAGGCCTCGCCAACAAGGCGGATGCTGCCCGGGCAGGGGAAGACTGCCACGGGGAACGGGGGACAGACGAACGAACGGATGGACGGACAGTCGGGTCAAGCATCATTCGCGGCTGCTCCCTAGTCGATATACTATAAAAGGCCAACTGAGCTATGTAACTCTTTTGCAGAAGCAACCTCGCCGCACACAATGGCAGCTCAATGAAAGTGACTTATCACGTGGAAATGTACAGCGGTGTCCGAGTACTCGAAACACGCGACGTCGATTCTAAACGCGGAGGGAAAAACTGGAGGACCCGGAGAGCACTCCACACGACCGCGGGGGGAGAACATGCAAGCTTCCAAGTGTAATAAAAGACTCGGACGCTTCTCTCTGTCCTGTGTCCTTTATTTGGGTTCGATCTCTTTTCCCTCACGGCACTCCCCCTTACTCTTCGCTCTGCAGCCCCAGGCTGCTACCGCTCACGTAGCCCACTTCACAGCACTCCCCTATATACTCTTCGCTCGGCAGCCCCCAGGCTGCTGTCGCTCACGTAGCCCACTCCCTCCTTGCAGACCCGCTGCTGTCTCGTCGTGCAGACCCCCCCCCCCGCTGCTCAACTCCACCCTTGCAGACCCGCTGCTCTCTCTGCAGCCTGCTCGCTGCTCCTCCAGCCCCGGGGTCGGTCACCGCTGGCCGACGGTGCTGATCCTCGAGGTCTGTGTGTGTGGCGATCTCGCCACACTCTCTCTTCCCCACTCCACCCTGCGTGGCCTTACACTTTCCCCAGTCTCCGATCACTCCCTACTGCTTCCGGTTTCTCCCCTTATAACCCTGAACCCTGTCCCCCACGTGACGTAACTCCTCCCCCCATGATGTCACTTCCGGAAGGTCGTTTACGCCCGCATTACACCACCCTCCCCCGTAGAGAAAATCCAGCCGACCTCGGCTGAACACAACTCCAACAATAATGCGAGCGAACACGACCGTATACAAAAAAACAAAAAGGACACAGAACACACAATATTATATCGAAGAACAAGAACACAACACAATATTTAACGAAATGTGAGGGATTTTGAGCGGGTGCGGGTCGCCGGACCGTCCCGGACGGTCGGCGGCCCTCCCGCCGAACGAGAACGTGGCAGGGTCTTAAGAGCGACAGGTTGAAGTACGTCTGTCGTTATTGGAAGCCTGGCAACGTCCCGGTCCCCCAATCTTGCCGGCGCAGCATCAGGGGCGTCCCGAAATCGCGTCCGCGGCGGGGTTGGAAGGGCTGCGGGCCTCAAAGGTTCCGCAGCCGTGTTAGGCGCACCCCGAGCTGAGTCGTCTTTCCCCTGCCACGTTACGGCCGGCTCGTCTGTAAAAGGCACAACAGGCGCTCTTGCAAGGTCAGCAGGCACAGGCAAAGGCGCGTCGGCAGCAACAGACCCCGGCAAGGCAATCTCAGGAGATGACGCATCAGGTCGAGGGGCCACGTATGGTTTCAACCGAGATGTGTGGACGAACCAACGCCGAGATCCAAACCGAACACGCGCCGACTGTGGGTTGGGAACCTCAATGAGGCGAACCGGGCCCTGCCATGGTTTGTGTAACTTAGGAGAGGTACCTGGCCGCACCTATGGACAATGAAGCCAGGCCAGGTCCCCCGGTTTCCAGGGGCATTCCCCTTTTGAACGGCGCGCACACCTCTCATTCCGAGCCTGGGCTTTGGCCGTAGCCACGCGGGCCCCTTCCCGCGCCACAGTGACTCGGCGAACGGTGTCCTGAATATAGTCAGGCAGAGGCTTGGCAGGTCCCCTCATTCCGGTTCCCAACTGTTCATTAATCGCCGGTACGTTTTCACGACCGTACATAAGAAAAAACGGCGAATATCCTGTAGCCGCGTGCGGCGTCATTCGGTACGCAGAAAGCACCCCAGGGATATGCAAATCCCAATCCGATTGTTTTTCACTAACCGTATGGCACAACATGGTGGACAGAGTCCTATTTAGCCGTTCCACCATACCATCCGTTTGCGGGTGGTAGGGAGATGTCCGAATTTTCTTTGTTCCAAGAGCCGCACACACCTCCCCCAACAATTTAGACGAAAAATTCCGGCCTTGGTCCGTAAGGAGTCTCTCCGGCGCCCCCTTGTCCATAACATACCCAAAAAGAAAGGCGTCTGTGATAGACGCCGCTGACTGGTCAGGCAAGGGCCAGGCCATCGGCCAGCGGGAGAGGTACTCCACCCCTACCAGCAAATATTTATTTCCCCTAGCGGATGGCGGAAAGGGTCCCAAAATATCTAACGCCACCAACTCATTAACTCGAGACACTTGAATAGATTGTATAGGCGGCACATATGGATGTTTAGGTGGCTTACGGCGGGCACAATCGGGACACGCACGAACGTGTCCGACGACATCCGTCGTCATGCCGTGCCAATAGTAATCTCGCTGCAGCGTCAATAGGGTCTTCTGCACTCCCAGATGTAAAAGCGTGTCACAATGCAGAGTTCTAATCAATTCGTACCGCAATGATGCCGGTACAACAAGACGCCAGCGTTCCTGTATCCCTTCCCTCCACATCAGCAAGCCATCACGGAGAGCAGTTTCCGGCACACCCCCCTCTCCCTTCACTGGCCGCTTACGTAATGTCACCAAAGAATCATCCAACATTTGTTCGCGGATCCACACGGACCTCGGAAGATGTAAAATGCCATCAGCCGGTCCCCCATCAGCCGGCCCCGGCTCAAGCGGAGCTTCAGGCACCTCGACTGCCAACGCGACAGGCTGAGGGGGGTGCTGAATCGGGCCACACCTATGCGTCCCCGACGCACACGCGCAAGGGGATCGCTGCGGCAGCCTGGAAAGTGCGTCCGCATTAGCGTGACGCACTCCCTTCCGATGGTGAATTTGGAAGGAAAATTCCTGCAGCGTGTCCAACCACCGCGCCAGCTGGCCGGATGGTTGGTCCATTTTAAGCGCATACTGCAAGGCCGCGTGATCCGTGCGAACAATAAACGAACGACCGTACAAGTACGGTCGAAATTGGCGGAGAAAAAAAACAATAGCCAAAAGTTCCCTGCGTGTGACGCAATAGCGGGTCTCAGCTGGAGACAAAACCCGGCTACCATACGCCACCACGCGTTCCACACCACCCTTGGACTGAGACAACACCGCCCCAATACCCGTGTCACTCGCGTCCGTATCCAGAATAAAGGGATGTTCAAAATCCGGATAGTCCAACGTCGGCGCCGTAGCCAATAGATCGCGTAGGCTTCGAAACGCCGCCTCCTCTGGCGGTCCCCAAGCAAATTTATGTCCTTTTCCCGTAAGGAGATGCAAGGGCCTCGCGATCGTAGAAAAGTTTGGAACAAACCTCCGATAGTATGAGGCGAACCCCAAAAACCGACGCACATCCCCCACCGTGGCAGGGGTTGGCCAGTCACGGACGCATGCAGTCTTGTCCGGATCCGTGGCCACCCCATCCACACTGACGATGTGCCCCAGGTAACGCACGGAGTGTTGCAGTAGGTGACATTTCTTAGGCTTAAATTTCAAATTAGCAGAGCGCATCCTGGTGAACACAGCCTCCAACCGCGATAAATGCTCGTCAAATGTGCGGCTGAAGACGATAACATCGTCTAGATATATAAGACACGTCTCCCACTGCAACCCCGTTAATACCAACTCCATTAACCTCTGAAAAGTGGCAGGGGCCGCATTCAGCCCCATCGGAAGGCAGTTAAATTGGAATAACCCCTGCGGCGTACGGAAAGCTGTTTTTTCTCGCGAGGACTCATCAAGGGGAAGCTGCCAGAAGCCCGAAGAGAGATCTAGCGTCGAGAAAAACTTCGCCCCCGACAAGGCATCGAGAGAGTCGTCCATATGCGGCAGGAGATATGCATCTGCTACCGACACTTTATTTAATTTACTAAAATCAACACAAAATCTCAATTTGCCATCTTTCTTTTTGACCAAAACAACAGGCGCGCCCCATGGGCTGTTAGGCGGAGATATTATGTCCGCAGCCAACATGTCATCCACTGCCCCTCGAACATGCTCGCGTTCCGCCGGACTCATCCGGTGCAAGTTTAACCGAATAGGGGCAGCGTCCCCTGTGTCAATATGATGGTAAAGCAACGAGGTGCGTCCCAAGTCCAAATCGTCAGAGCTAAACACGTCAGAATAGCTGAATAATAATTTACGAATCGCACAACGTTGTTCCCCGGAAAGAACCGAATTTTCCGCACACAATTCAGCGATCCAGCGATCATCTGCAGCTCCGGCCCCCGAAACACCTCCAACAACTCCCCGGCTGGACAAATTATCATGAGCTGTAAACGCAGTAGTGGCATGTGCCACAACAGTACCCGCCGGCACACACACGCTTTCGGTACTCGCGTTAAGCACTTGCAAAAACGGCTGTTGGTCTGGCCGGACAATAGTTTGTGCCCCAACCAGTGCCGATCCACCCGTAATAGCGGCGGACGGCGACAACAAAACACCAATCGCTCCTTGACGACCAGGTACAGGCTTCCGATAACGCAAGGGAATGAGTATCTGTGAGCCAGGTGGAATATCAACAGACACCTCGGACAACGCCTGCACCTGGGCGACAGGATCAGGTCGCCCCCAGGCTGACGGCAAAAACGCAATTTTTCGGCCTTCCGGTAGCTTAATGCAGCTCTCATTAATTCTAATCAGAATGGGCATTCTGGCCAGAAAATCGGTCCCTAACAAACAAGGAACCGCAAGAGACCTCGAAATTAACACAATTCCCGAGGCAGACACTCCCCCGATAGCGATGTTAGCGTTCACCTGGCCCACAATGCCCATGCTACCCCCCTTCGCGGCGATGCAGGAAGCGTAAGCTGGACTCACGGCCTCTGGTGGGATGTTCAAGAGATGAAATATTACATCAGAAATAATGGTCGCGGACGCTCCAGAATCTACCAAAATCCGCACGTCCACCCCTTGTATCGACCCAGGTACGGTGGACGAACCGGTAGCGGCCGCGACAACCCGCCGAGCCAGCTTACGCCACTGCGTTACCGAGCGACAAGGCGCAGTCGATGGCCTCCCGTTATTAACAATACCCGGATCGCACGACAACGGTGATGAATGAGGTGTCAAGCCTTGCCGGGTGTCTGGTGCGCACCGACTTGCCTGTGCTGGCGAATCCTTTCCTGGAGCGGCCGCAGTCGAGGCCTCCTGCTGGGGCGGACCCGGAACGCGGGCCCAGCAGTCCCGAGCGTAATGGCCTTTACGGCCGCAGCGGAAACAGTCGATGTCGTTACGGCGCGCTGCAGACGCCCCGTCCCGACGCGGCCGTGTCGGCGGCGCAGCCCGTGGCCCCGGCCCCCCTCGGCCCGTCCACGGAGTCGCGGCAGCCGACAGCTCCTGCGGGCCCCTGTCGTCTGGCACAAAAACTGCCTTTTTGGGGTCCCAACCCAAGGCTCCACCTTCGACGATAGGCCCCCCCGTCCACGCCGTAACCTGCTTCCACCGGCGCAGGTTGAACTGGGCATCTAGACATCTGGCCGCAGCCCGGGAGGTGAGCTTCTCATGATCACACACCGGCATAGGAATGCCGAGATCCCGGGACAGCTCCAGCATCTTTCCCAGGATGAGAGGTTCCAGCAGGTCAGGCTCCGTCTCCGGGTATGCAGCCATAGCCAGTTCTAGCACCGCGCCCCTATACGCCACCGGAGACTCCTCGGGTGCGCGCTGTCGTTGCACAAACCGGCGATGAGCATCGTCCGGTGGTTCGTAAGCGTCAGCCATTTCGGTGAATACTCCTCGCAACGTTTTCTTCTTTGCGGCTTTTATGGAGCGGAAGAATCTAACAGACTCATCATCGAGAAGAGTCGGAAGAACTTCTAATGCCTCCGCGTCAGTCCACCTCGCCGTGCGTACCGCTGCCAAAAATCTGCAGGCGAACGCGCTCCAATCTCCCCCGATGGAGAATTCTTTTACAGTCGGCAAGTGACGCCGCTGACTCATCGGGTGGCAGATTCAACATGGCGTCCCAACGTGGTGTCGACAAGATGGCGGCCTTACGCCGAGAAGAGCCCAAAATGGCGGCTTCCCGCCTTTCCTCGTGCGCCACGCCCAAGATGGCGTCCTCACGCCGCGTGGCTGATGGCGGCGACAGCGAAGACAACCCGGGCTCCTGCGGACCACCAACATCTCCCCCAGACGCCATTCCCGGCGTGACGAGCTCACACAACTGTGCAAGTACGTTCTTGAGAGTTTCAAGTTGCTCCGCCATCTGACTCCATCTTAAATCCACGTTCTTTAGTGAAGACGGGTCCGCCGACGCGACGACCTCTTGGACCCCCGGACCCGCACTCGTCCCAGCACGGATCTCCTCATCTGTCGGAGTCAGGTCCACCGTAGGAGGAAGGTCTTCGTCGTCGGAAGAAGAAGCCGATGCCGGAGACGGAATAATCTTTTTTCTCAGTTGTTTTGCCATGCCGTTACACTTCCAACACCAGTGTAATAAAAGACTCGGACGCTTCTCTCTGTCCTGTGTCCTTTATTTGGGTTCGATCTCTTTTCCCTCACGGCACTCCCCCTTACTCTTCGCTCTGCAGCCCCAGGCTGCTATCGCTTACGTAGCCCACTTCACAGCACTCCCCTATATACTCTTCGCTCTGCAGCCCCCAGGCTGCTGTCGCTCACGTAGCCCACTCCCTCCTTGCAGACCCGCTGCTGTCTCGTCGTGCAGACCCCCCCCCCCCGCTGCTCAACTCCACCCTTGCAGACCCGCTGCTCTCTCTGCAGCCTCCTCGCTGCTCCTCCAGCCCCGGGGTCGGTCACCGCTGGCCGACGGTGCCGATCCTCGAGGTCTGTGTGTGTGGCGATCTCGCCACACTCTCTTCCCCACTCCGCCCTGCATGGCCTTACACTTTCCCCAGTCTCCGATCACTCCCTACTGCTTCCGGTTTCTCCCCTTATAACCCTGAACCCTGTCCCCCACGTGACGTAACTCCTCCCCCCATGACGTCACTTCCGGAAGGTCGTTTACGCCCGCATTACACAAGTATACAGGCCTCAGGGTTGGGATCGAACCCACGACCTCCTGTATAGCAGGCGAGGTAGTTAACATCTCCTAGCCACCGTGATGATGATGATGAGACACGCAGACTCCAAATATAGAGCAGGTGTCAAGGTTGGTGATCGAACCCACGACCTCCTGTGTACCAGGCGAGGTAGTTAACATCTCCTAGCCACCGTGATGATGATGAGAGACACACAATCTCCAAATATACAGCAGGCGTCAGGGTCGGGATCGAACCCACGACCTCCTGTATAGCAGGCGAGGTAGTTAACATCTCGCCACCGTTTGCATGCGTGTGTAATAAAGGTCGTTGAAGCGACTTCTGGAATCCGGTCTTTATTCACTTTTCATTACAGCACTTCCTTCACGCTGCTGACAGGCAGCGTGAGAGGGATAGAGAGAGAGAGAGAGACGCACTGCCACGTGGCAGCCTGGACCACGTGGCAGCCTGGACCACGTGGCAGGCTAGACCACGTGGCAGCCTGGACCCCCGTTTTCGCGTGGCCTCCTCCTCCGTTCGTTCCAGTTCTGACCACGTGTCGTTCGTCTCCACCCCTATTTAATACCCGGGTCACGTGGTACCTTTCCACCAATCCTGGTTAGCCTCCATGGAATCTTCCAGACTCCATCGTAGGCTCCCGGGACCACGCCCCTGACTCGTCCCCCCATTGGCTGTGGCCAAAGCCAGCAGAACCAATCCTCTACAAACAGCTGTCACCATCCCATCACGTCAGGGCCACGCCCCTAGGCTTCCCCCCATTGGCTATGGACCAGGACCGGTAGAGCCAATCATCGTGACGAGTTGTAATCCGTCAACGACCCGGATATAACCTCACGTGACACGTGTACTGATGGGTGTGTGTCAACATAGGTGCCGTCTGTGTCGCAGCAGAGCCTGACGAAGCCGAATGTCCACAGGGAACGATCGCGATTCTTAAACACACACGTGGCATGTGCATCGGGGGCTTATTGTGTGTGGCATAAATCGACAGATTCATCGTCGCACGTCGGTTAAACACTTGGCTGAAATGAAAGCGTCGTGAACACAGGCCATTCAGCTTTTGCACAGAAACAGCGGGCATGCAGAGGATTGTGGGGTTTCCCAGGATGCGCTGAGGCCTAGCCTAAACGAATTTCAACCGAAGGTGTTGTTACTGGGATTGCCGCAAAATATTTTTTCACTATACGACATCAAATTTCACAATAGGACGATTTTCCAATAACGTTGTAGTACTCGTATTTAGCGTGTTAGTTCTATTGTAATCAATGCAGTCTATAAGGCTCATGAACGCACAGCGCTGACAGTTACGCCAGAAATGCGGTCAACAATTACACGAAACAAGGCAATGACGATGTCACATAATCGCCATGCTGTCAATTAACGCCGAAAACTGTTAGAAAAGCGTTGATTCGATTTCATAATAAATATTTATTTACAACCTGCATAACTTTTGGTGAGCGCACACAATTGAATTCTTTGGTTTTATCAGCTATGTCTCAAGCTAAGAGTGGTACATATGTTTGTGTGTTTCGTAATCACACCGAATATCTTCCAGTCCGCAGGTGCAAACAATGTACGGGTCAGTGGTGGACTGCAAGCGATTAGCACGCTGAGCTTTGAACCCGGTAACCCGAGTTAAATTCGTGCTCACGCCCAACATCAGTGACGATTGTTTAAACCTGTCATGGGCCTCCCCTCGGTTGCCTGGTGCAGTGCGTAAACATCGCTAGCACTGGGGAGACAAAGACGGCCGGGCGTGGTGCTGGCCACTCACACCCCCTCATGTGCCGTACCAGCCTTCATCGGTGCTTGCCCCGACAGCCTGTCAAAGGGCGTTACGGGGGGGGCGATCTTTGCCCGCGTGTGCGTCCGTGCGTGTGTGTGCGTGCGTGTGTGCGTGTGTGCGTGCGTGTGTGTGCGTGCGTGTGCGTGCATGTGCGTGCGTGTGTGTGCGTGTGCGTGTGCGCGCTCCGCAAGTACTCACTGTAGGGGACGCACTTGTACCAAACCTCCAGGTACTTGTACGTCCCGGGACAGGGGTCCGGAAACAGCTCGTTGCCAGCGACGACGTGGCACCACGTCCTGTTGTTGCACCTGCGGGGGGCAGGGGGAGCGGAGCGGCGTAGAGAGGAGGAGGGGGGGGGTAACGAGCACGCGCGTTAACCCCCCCGCCCACACAAAACAAAAGACAAAGATCCCCCGTGTAGCCTGTAACAGACTGTTGGGGCAAGTGCTGTTAGCCAGCACCTATGAAGGCCAGCACGGCACACGAGGGGGTGGGTGGCCAACACCACGCCCTTTGTCTCCCTAGTGGCGATGTTTACACATTGCACCAAGGCTGAGTCGACCTAGGAGAGGCCCGGGACCATTTCAGATAATCGTCACTGGTGCTGGCCGTGAGCGGGAATTGAACCCGGTTCACCAGGTTCATAGCGCAGCGCGCTAACCGCTACACTGCCGCTCCCTCCACACAGACACACACACACAGACACACACACAGACACACACAGACACACACAGACACACACACACACACAGACACACACACACAGACACACACACACAGACACACACACAGACACACACACACAGACACACACACACACACAGACACACACACACACAGACACACACAGACACACATAGACACACACACACACAGACACACACACACAGACACACACACACAGACACACAGACACACACAGACACACACAGACACACAGACACACACAGACACACACACACAGACACACACACACAGACACACACAGACACACAGACACACACAGACACACACAGACACACACACACAGACACACACAGACACACACACACAGACACACACAGACACACATAGACACACACACACACAGACACACACACACAGACACACACACACAGACACACACAGACACACACAGACACACAGACACACACAGACACACACACACCGGTGCCGCGACTCTCGGCCACAGCTGGGCCAAGCATCCCCAGTGCAGGACCCTCCTGTGAGAGGGTGATGATGAGAATCAGGCCCTTTGTGGCTATCAAATGACTGGCATATTCATTATAATTATTATGATTCTTACTGGGGGGGGGGGGGGGGCGGGCAGGGATAGACGGTGGCCGAGTGGGTTAGCGCACTGTGACACGTAGCCGGTGCCCCGAGTTTGTTCGTGTACATGCTGTGTTGGAGGTATGTACGTGTATGTATGCGAGTCTATGGGTCTCTGAGGCTGTGGGTGTCTGTGTGAGTCTATGGGTCTCTATCCGAGTCTGTGGGTCTCTATGGATGTATGGAGACTTTCTTTTGCACCGTTTGTAGCCAGAGAAAAATCCATGCGACCACAGGGAGAGGCTGTGCCTCCCCTTACTGTGCCAACTACACGACCACTCCCACACACACTCACACGCGTGCACACACACACACACAAACACACACACGCACACACACACACGCGTGCACACACACACACGCGTGCACACACACACACACGCTCGCGCGCGTGCGTGCACACACACACGCTCACACACACAAACACACACGCACACACACACACGCGTGCACACACACACACGCGTGCACACACACACACACGCTCGCGCGCGTGCGTGCACACACACACACACGCGCACACTACACTCGCGCGTGCACACACACACACGCTCACGACACTGGCGCCCACCTCCGAGCCACGATGTGGAAGCTCTCGACCTGCAAGCAGGCCGTGTTCTGCATCTTGGCCGCCTCGGACTCGCAGATCTGTCCGTCGGTGCGGCCGTAGAAGGCCGAGCTGACGGCGATGACGTAGCTGCCCGGGCAGCGCAGGTCGACGGGACGACCCTCGCACGACAGCTCCCGCCGCACCGGGGACTCGGAGCCTGCGACGGACAGGACGGACAGGCGGAGGTGGACAAGGTCAAGAGGTCGTTATGTGTGTGTATAGGTCCGTCTGTGTGTGTGTAGGTCTGTTTAGGTGTGTGTAGGTGTGTGTAGGTCTGTGTCAGAGGTCGCAAACGGGTTTTGATTCCTTACCCGTACCCGGCCACACCAGGGTCGCAATCGGGTACCCGATACCCGTACCCGTACCCGGCTGTACCCGTACCCGGCCGCACCAGGGTCGCAAACGGGTACCCGTTCCCTACCCGTACCCGGCCGGGTACGAGTAGGGTACGGGTACGGGTACCCGATTGCGACCTCTGGGATGAAGCCATGTTGCAGGCGCGGGTGGGTTGATTCTAGGAACTTGAATTGTGAGAAGAGACAAGACGTTGGGAAATGAGTGACAAACGGTGACTCACCAGTGACTCACGGCCTACCCGTACCCGGCCGCACCAGGGTCGCAAACGGCTACCCGTACCCGACCGGGTACGGGTAGCCGGGTATCGGGTAGGGTACGGGTATCGGGTACCCGGTTGCGACCTCTGGGACAAGGTCAAGAGGTCGTTATCGTCATCATCATCATTGTTATTATGATTGGCCGCTTACCCAAGCAAACGCCTCAGAGTCTCAAGGGTTATTGTCCAGGAGGGTCCTGCCAGGGTTTCACCGTAGTGGCCGATGTTGCTACCGCTGCTGCTGCTGCTGCTGTGTGGTGGAATCCAATTTTTCAGTTTGTGTTTCGTTTGTTGTCCTTCCCCCACAACTCCGATGAGCACGGTGGGCTACGTACGGTGCCAAAGACGTCCAAAGTACGCACGTGCTTTGGAAACAACAACAAGAACACACTCCATGCAGAAAGGTGCCCAAGTCGGGATTTGAACCCAGGCGCTGCTTGCTGTGATGCACAAGTGTCACCGCCAATGTGGGATTTCCAGGATGTCCAATTGGAATGAGCACCCAAACACCCCCATTGCAATCCAACAGTAGCAACGATTTCAACTTGTAGCGCTCTGACGGCTATCGCTCGCCCTGCCAGAGAGAGAACGAGCTATACAGCTCAACGACGTGGCTTATCGTGTGGACATTTATAGCAGCCAAATACTCTAAAATGCACGTTGATTCTAAATGTCCAGCGAACACCCGGAGGACCTGGAGAAAAATCCACGTGACCACGGGGAGAACAGGCAAACTCCAAATATACGGCAGGCATCAGGAGTCGGGATCGAACCCACGGCCTCCTGTATACCAGGCGAGGTTGTTAACATCTCACCACGGAGAGAGAGAGAGACACGCAAACCCCAAATATACAGCAGCAGGTGTCCGGGTCGGGATCGAACCCACGACCTCCTGTGTACCAGGCGAGGTGGTCAACATCTCACCGCCACGGCGCCCCTCTCTTATGCACATCACTTCTCAATTCACTACGTTGTTGTCTCGTCTCTATCAGTTTTTTTTTCTCATCTCACTCCGTCGCTATCTTTGCAGGAGGTTCATGGGTTCAATCCTGACCGTGATGCCTGCTGTAGACATGAAGTTTGCATGTCTCCCTCCCCGTGGTCGCGTTCGTTTTTCTCCGGGTCCTCCGGTTTATGTCTCGCGACGATGACGACGATGATGATGAAAGTATTTGGCCACTACTATAAATGTGCACGTGCCAATAAGCCACTTTGTGGAGCTATAACCTGCGATCACCAGGTCGCTTCTGACAAAGAGCTATAATATATAATAAAAATCTCAGTGGGCGCCTTAACTGGTTCAATAAACTATGGGAAACTCATTTGCCAGTAAAAATATGATAATTGGTTTTTTACCCTTCTATCTGGCAACAAAACTGACACCTTTTTACAAGGAGTCATGTTTGCATAGACCACAATACCTGCAGTCATAATGCAAACAAAAAACATAACTCTGATAATGTGCACTGTCCTTGAGGTTGATTGGTCCACACCCGAGACAGCTTTCCTTAGAGCCTAGTCTCACATGGGTTGGACCAGATGACGCCAAAAGTTTTTAAAACAAGACAGAGCCTCGTACCGGTTGCGCGAGGCCAACCGCTTGCGCCCAGCAGCAGCAGCAGCTGCGCTTGAAGCAGTCTCCAGCTGGCCATCGTGAACCCACGCGCGATGTCGGCAGCAGGAGACGGAGGAGTCGGGCAGAGTGACCTCTGAACCGCTGACCTCTGACCCCTCCGGCGAGGACTTTCTCCAAGGCGTTGCTGGAGACGGTGAAGTCGTTTTAGTCTCAGTACTTGGTCAGGTGAATGCTGTGGTGGAGACGGAGAGAGTGTGATCGTCATTAGTGTTACAGTGGACGTCACTGTTGCATCATCATCATCATCCATTACACCTGTCACGATGGTCCTGACTCCGATGAGCACTCCTTGGCTACGTACGGTGCAAAATAAGTTCAGCAAACATGAGCACATGCATACCTACTCCGGTCTACTACCAGCGACAAAATAATTCCTTGAAAAATCAAGTCAGCCACGGGGGAGAAAGTCCAGGCATAAGTGGGTTATCGCGCCTTCAGGCGATGTAGAGACGGGCAAGAAACCAACTTGCTGTGAGGTCACTTGTGAAAAAGAGCCACAGACACTCAGTGGGCCCTGAGCTTGGTAATATAAAAGTGTAGTTGAGTTATATTCTTGGTTCTTTCGGTAAAGTCACGTCCATAGAAATGTTTAATTAAAAAGATAACAAATTGAAAATGATAAAAGCAAAAAACCCACAATGATGACCACGTGGAAACGTCGAGCATCCAAATAGTCTCCAAACGCGCGACGTTGATTCTATAAATGTGGAGAAAATTTCACGCGACCACGGAGAGAGACACCGCAAAACTCCAAACAGACAGTAGAAGCGTCAGGGTTGGGATAGAACCCACGACCTCCTGCGTACCAGGCGAGGTAGTTAACATCTCTTAGCAAACCATGATGATGAGAGAGACACGCAGCCTCACGGCTGTCAATGTACTCAACAGGCTGCAGAGAGAGCACTGCTGTTGTGCACAGGAGCACTTCTCTAGCTCCGAAGTCTAAAGTCGCCTGCCTTTCTCCGGGCCGCATTGGCCAGCGACGTGAAGCGGGGGTCAAGCAAATCTCCCCTGGATTTGAAGCTTTCGTGACTGCAAGGATTCATACTCTTGGTTCTTTCGGTAAAGTCACGTAGGTAAAAATGAAATTTAAAATAATTAGAATCCCTGACTCACTTGATGCAGCAAATCTGGCTGTGACGGTCCCACCTGATGACGGAGACTTGTGTTGCCTCCGAAACGTCGTGATTTTATTATTTTATTTTTATTAATTTCATTTTTTACCTACATGGTGACTTTACCGAAATAACTAAAAGTACAAATCTCCCCTCTCGAGGTCAGCCTCATCCAGCAGCGGGTCGGCGAAAGGCTTCGATGAAAACCCCTACGCGTCAATTAACTCGCGTCTATTCATAGTGGCGAGGTGGGGGGGGGGAAGATCCCCCGTGTAGCCTTGACAGACTGTAGGGGCAAGTGCTGTTAGCGAGTAGCAGCAGCAGCAGCTATGAAGGCCGTCACTGTAGCTTACAAAGACAAAGATGCCCCGTGTAGCCTTGACATACTGTTGGGGCAAGTGCTGTTAGCGAGTAGCAGCAGCTATGAAGGCCGTCACTGTAGCTTACAAAGACAAAGATCCCCCGTGTAGCCTTGACAGACTGTAGGGGCAAGTGCTGTTAGCGAGTAGCAGCAGCAGCTATGAAGGCCGCCTTTGTCTCCCCAGTAACCAGCCCGTGCTGTAAAGATACACACGGATATCCACATTCACCATACATCACTCACTCGCATTCATTATATTAACAAAACTAAAATTGTATATTTTTTTACCTACGTGACTTTGCCGCATTGATGAGCAATTAGATTTTGTTCGATTGCAAAAATTAATCGTTAAAGAATTAGTAAAAAAAAATCAATAATTAATTATTTAACGATCAATGTTGGGAGCTTGGTGAGGAGGTTGTTTAGGCCTCAGCCTCGGCGCTCGCCTGGATCTCAGGCCCGGCTCGTTGGGCCGGAGTCGCTAGGCGAGGCCGTGGTCCCCCGACGTGAGGCGAGGCCTGGTGACTACCCATCATGTCTCGCCCTCTCACGTTCACATTGGTGCACTTGCAACGATTTGTTTATGTTACTCGTGGGCCTTAAGCTTTCATTGTGACGTTGCCGTGCTTTAAACATTGTTATTTACGTTTTAATAGCGGTTCACAGACGCGAATCATTGTACCGTACACACACGGACCACGCAGCTCCTCGCGCAGGCTGTAGTAGCAGCAGCAGCAGCTATGAAGGCAAAGACAAAGATGCCCGTGTAGCCTGTAGTAGCAGACTGTAGGGGCAAGTGCTGTGAGCAGCAGCAGCTATGAACACACAGAGACAAAGATCCCCCGTGTAGCCTCTAGCAGGCTGTAGGGGCAAGTGCTGTGAGTAGGGGGTTGTTGTGGTGGTTGTTGTGGTGGTTGTGGTTCTGGTGGTGGTTGTGGTGGTTTTTGTGGTGGTGGTTGTGGTGGTGGTTGTAGTGGTGGTGGTAGTGGTGGTTGTTGTGGTTGTTGTGGTGGTTGTTGTTGTTGTGGTGGTGGTTGTGGTAGTTGTTGTGGTGGTAGTTGTAGTGGTGGTAGTGGGGGTTGTTGTGGTGGTGGTTGTGGTGGTTATGGTGGTTGTTGTGGTGGTTGTGGTGGTTGTTGTGGTCAGGGTCGGGATCGAACCCACGACCTCCTGTAGACCAGGCGAGGTGGTCAACGTCTCATAGCCACACGGAGCCAGCGGAACGGATAATGTAATCGATGATAATCGATCATCAGAGAGAGGGAGACACGCAAAACGATGATTATAATCGATGGGAATCGATTAGCAGAGAGAGACGCGCAAACCAACGATTAGAATCGATGAGAATCGAACAAACGATTCCCGGTGACGTCATAACCCGGAGACCATCGCCAAGTTCAAGATGGCGGCACCCAGGTTGGAGGTTGTAGTGGTGGTGGTGGTGGTTGTTGTGGTGGTGGTTGTTGTGGTGGTGGTTGTAGTGGTGGTGGTTGTTGTGGTGGTGGTGGTTGTTGTGGTGGTTGTTGTGGTGGTTGTTGTGGTGGTGGTTGTTGTGGTGGTTGTTGTGGTGGTGGTTGTTGTGGTGGTTGTGGTGGTGGGTGGTTGCTGTGGTGGTGGTTGTAGTGGTGGTTGTTGTTGTGGTTGTGGTTGTAGTGGTTGTGGTGGTGGTTGTTGTGGTGGTGGTTGTTGTGGTGGTGGTGGTTGTTTGTGTGGTGGTTGTTTGTGTGGTGGTTGTTGTGGTGGTTGTTGTTTGTGTGGTGGTGGTTGTGGTGTTGTTTGTGTGGTGGTGGTTGTTGTTGTTTGTGTGGTGGTGGTTGTTGTTGTTTGTGTGGTGGTTGTTGTTGTGGTGATGGTTGTTTGTGTGGTGGTGGTTGTTGTGGTGGTTGTTGTTTGTGTGGTGGTGGTTGTTGTGGTGATGGTTGTTTGTGTGGTGGTGGTTGTTGTTCTGGTTGTTGTTTGTGTGGTGGTGGTTGTGGTGGTTGTTGTGGTGATGGTTGTTGTTGTTTGTGTGGTGGTGGTTGTTGTTTGTGTGGTGGTTGTTGTGCTGGTTGTTGGGTTTAAATAGGCTGGATTGTGTGAGGAGCTCACAAATCCTTGAAAGATCTGGGCAAAGTCCCATCGGTGAGCTCCTCCGGCAGGCAAGGCTGCGTTGGCTGGGTCATGTAGCCCGCATGCCCAGCCACCGCATGCCTAAACAGCTTTTGTTCGGCCGGATCGAGGGGGCTAAACGGGCGTGGCACGGGCTAGAGAAGAGATGGAGTGATGTGGTACAGGAGGACGTGGAGCTGAGTGGACTTGCCGATGACTGGTACCAGCGGTGTCAAGATCGGCCTCAGTGGAGGAGGCTCGTGAAGGACGCTACTGGGCAGTTGGAGGCAGTCGCCCTCCAACAACAACGGAGGGCGGAGGAGCGACGCTCACAACAACGAGCGGAGCGCCGGGTGGCTAAAGCACAGCAAGTTGGTACAGTAGGGGGCACAGATGGTGCAATCAGCCAGTCATCTCGGTCATCTCAGTCAGTCGACCCGTGGCACCTGCTGGGTCTGCCCCGTGACCTCCTGCCAGCGGGCGTTCGACACTTCACGTGGCAGCCTCAAGGTGCACGTGGCCTGGCAACAAGCGTCGTGGTGACATCACCGCCACTTAGTGGCGAATGGCGGTTGCTGTTGTGGTAATGTGTGTGTGTCTGTGTGTAATGTCTACATACACACCACACGCCACCTTCTCCCCGCACCTCCCCCCTCCCACAGCGAAAGGACTTTTCAACCACCATGGCCACCGCGGCGCTCCTGTCTGACGCTCCACGCCCTGCCCCTGCTCCTGCTGCTGCCCTGCTGCTGCTGCCCCTGCTGCTGTCCCTGCTGCTGCCTGCTGCTGCTGTCCCTGCTGCTGCCCCTGCTGCTGTCTCTGCTGCTGCCCCTGCTGCTGTCCTGTGTGTGCTGCTGCTGCTGCCCCTGCTGCTGCCCTGCTGCTGTCCCTGCTGTGTCCCTGATGTGCTGTCTGTGATGCTGTCCCTGCTGCCCTGCTGCTGCCCCTGCTGCTGTCCCTGCTGCTGCTGCTGCTGCTGCCCCTGCTGCTGCCCACTGCTGCTGTGCTGCGTCCCTGCTGCTGCCTGCTGCTGCCCTGCTGCTGTCCTGCTGTGCTGCCCCTGCTGCTGCCCCTGCTGCCCCTGCTGCTGTCTCTGCTGCCCCTGCTGCCCCTGCTGCCGCGCACCACCGCTGGCTCCCTGCCGCGCCGCTGGTGGTCCGGCTTCATTGGCGCTCTCAGAGGCTGCTTCTTTCAGCAACCGCCACCGCCGCACTGCCAACACCGCCGGAGGGGGGCGGCAGCGAGAGAGAGGAGGCTTCTCGGGTGGGGGAGGGTGGGGGATGGTGGCGGGTGTTGGTTGGTCGTGGGGGTGGTTGTTGGCGGTGGTGTTGGCGGT